ATCTGTGGATCTAGTAATGCTTGTATTACTCCATCACTGCCACAGGAAGCAGCTATCATTAAAGGAGTGAGACCAGTGGACTCTATCAATGGTGTACACAGGTCACTTGAAGTTTGATTGATCATAAATTCTACATCATCAGACACACAAGCATTCAGTATTTCTTCTTGATGTTTTGTAAAGTATATTTTAGCTGCTAATAACTTGATTAATTTCTTATGTCCTCCATAACAAGCTACTGTTACTGCCTTCACCATTTCTTCTTGATTGGGATTATAATTATTCAGCAGTGTGTCAATTACTTTATTGTGTCCACCATATGCAGCATGACAGAGAGCAGATAATCTATTATTATCAATAACTGATGGATCAGCATTATATGTCATTAGTAGAAGTGCAACTGCTTCACTCTGTCCATTAAAACTAGCATGCATCAGTGCAGTCCTACCTTTACTGTCAGTGATATTAGGATCAGCTTCCTCTAATAGTAATACCAATACTTCAGTATATCCTTTTTCACTTGCAATCATTAGTGGTGTAACTCCATCATTATTTTTTCGATTAACATTTATATTCCATGACAGCAGTGTTTCTATGATATCATCTATATTATTATCCTCACTACTGCTAGAGTATAATGCATGATGCAATGCATTGTCTCCATCATTGTCACAAATATTAGGATCTGCTCCATTCTCCAGTAGTGTTAGTACTATATCCTTGTGACCACATTCACATGCTAACATTAAGAAAGTTTCTCCAGTTTCTTGTTGATGGTTTAGATCATTAATCTCTTTCAATAGTGACTTAACTACTTCTAAATGCCCTCCAATGCATGCAAAAACTAATGATGGGCAAGAGATTTCTAACATTTCTTTTGGTAGAGGTGCTTGTTTCATAATAATTGGAAGTGTTGCTTGAAAATATTTGCTTGATGATAAAGGTGCCTTAGGATTATAACCAGCTTTAAGTAACAATTCTACCGCTTGTACATTACCAATGATAGTTGCCACTATTAGACTGGCAGGATCATCCTCAGGTTGTGGTGTAGCCTCTAGTAGTAGACGAAGTATTTCAATTGTATCATCTACAGTGGTTTTTGAAATAAATTCCTTTACTCCTTTAACAACTTGATCAGTTGTAGTTTTAAATTTACTTGCCAAAAAATTTGTTAATGTAGGCTGTGAATCCTTAAAGTAGATAAATTGGCTTTCCTGCATTAATTTGCTTACACACAAATGAACTATTGACATTTCAACTTCAAGTGATGCTCTGGCCTCATTTAACTCAATCCTGATACTATTAGTAGTAGCAGCACCAAATTTCAGCAATTCTTGTACAATTGTTTTTTGACCTAAGCACACTGCATATGCTAAGACTGTTGTTCCATTTTTACTTTTAGCATTAGGATCAGCACCAGCTTTTAATAGTAACTGAACTATTTCTAAGTTATCATGACTACTGGCAACCATTAATGGAGTCCTTCCATTCAACAATGGATTGTCTGATTCTGATTGTACATTTGGATCTGCACCTTTTTCCAATAATAATTGAATCAGTTCCTTTGTTTTATTACAAATTATAGCCATTGTCAATGCAGTGTCCCCATTCCTCCGTGATTTCTCTGATGATTGAAATTTAACATTAGGATCAGCACCAGCTTCCAATAGTAATCGAACTATTTTTGAATTATCTTCTTTTGCAGTACATGCTGCCATTAGAGGTGTGAGGACATTATTTTGTGTAGCATTGAGATCAACTGGTTCTTGCAATATTAATTTAACTATTTCAATATGTCCCTGCTGACATGCTTTTGTCAATGTGTTATAGTCACTAGTAGGTCTAACAATTTTAAGAAAAGTATTGTAAAGTCCGCTTGAAGAAAAAAAAGCTAATGGATCATATCCAGCTTTTAGTAACAATTCAACTGCTGGTGTACAACCTACTTCAGCTGCTGCTATTAAACTATAAGGATCATCTTCAGGTTGTGGTGTAACTTTCAGTAAAAGCTGGAGTGTTTTAATGTGTTTTGCTTCTTCTTGTGCTTTTATTTGTTGTAAACCCATGTCTATGGCAGAATTTATAAATTTATCTTGCACAGATTTTTGCATTATTTGATTTATTTCATTGACAGGAGTGTTTTTTATTGCTATTATCATGGCACAGCATTGAGTTATTGTGCAGTTCATAGTTGTGTTAATGATAGGATTAGTAATGCTAATATTAGTACTGGCACCAGCTTTTATCAGTTCATCAACTATTTCATAATGTGCAAGTGTCACAGCAACTTTTAAAGCAGTTTCTCCTGTCATTGCAGCCTTATTAGGATCAGCATGAGCACTTTAATAATAATTGAACTGTTTGTTTGTGACCACGGCTACTAGCCATCAATAGTGCAGTGCTTCCGTTCAGAAAAGGAATACTTAATGACTCCACTTGTATATTAACATTAGCACCAGCTTGTACTAATATTTCAACTATTTCCAAATGCTCAGTTTCTTGACTACAGGCAATCATTAAAGCAGTCACATTATCCTTGTTGGAAATATTTAAATCACTGATGACTTGTTCTTTCAGCAAAAGTTCAACTATTTGAGTGCAACCATTTCGACAAGCCAACATAAAAGCATTCCAACCATCTTTGTCTTGAACATTAGGATCAACTTGTTCCTTTAGCAACAGTTCAACTATTTGAGTGTGACCATTTCGACAAGCCAACATAAAAGCATTCCAACCATTTTTGTCTTGAACATTAGGATCAACTTGTTCCTTCAGCAACAGTTCAACTATTTGAGTGTGACCATTTCGACAAGCCAACATAAAAGCATTCCAACCATCTTTGTCTTGAACATTAGGATCAACTTGTTCCTTCAGCAACAGTTCAACTATTTGAGTGTGACCATTTTGACAAGCCAGTTCAAAAGCAGTCACTCCATCTTCTCGTTGATATTTATAATCAACTCCTTTACTAATCAATAGTTCAACCACCTCATAGTTACCATCATAACTAGCAATCATTACAGCATTTGATCCATTTGATTTCTTCAGGTGAGGATTAGCATTAGCTTGTAGTAACATGTGAATCATTGAAATGTGATTATGTTCACTTGCTATCATTAGTGCAGTCCATCCTTTATTGTCCTGAATGTTAACATTAGCTCCAGCAGACAGTAAACTGTGTACAATGTCCTCATGTCCTCTTTCACAAGCTAACATTAGTGCTGTCTTGCCTTCTTCATTAGTATGATCAATATTAACAGTTTCTAGTTGAAGAAGAAACTCTACTGCTTCATTATTACCAGCTGTAACTGCCTCAAGGAGAGCTAGTTCAAAGGTGAAGTTCATATTCTCATCTTCTTGAAGGACAGGATGATCATTAATGTATAAACTAAATATACCAATGAGACGCATAAACTGTAACGTTCCTCCAGTATATTCTATTAGACTGTCAGCTGTAAAGTCAAGAATGTGTAACTTGATGGCAACACATTTACTTGTTATTCTAATATGCTTCACAACTGATTGTCTGTATTCTCGGGGGAGCAGCTTTTTAATTAGTTCATACAATCCTTCAATATTTATGTCGTTCCAGCAAGTTTGCAGTTCCATATGAATGTAAGGCAGATTATCCACATTTCTATCAATAGAATAATACTTTTTGACAAGAAAATTTTTAAATGCAGAAACTGTATTTGATGTACGAAGCCTCTCACTTTCCTCCAAATGGTTTCTTAATTCATCAACTAGTTTATAAGTTACTCCATCATCAGTGAATGTTACCTCTGGTAGGAACTTTTTGCTCATGTCCAGTAACAGTTTACAATCAATAAAGTCGTAATATGGTTCAATTTTATTTAAAATATTATCAATATTGCTATCTACTGAGCCACGTTTCCACTTCATGTGTACTATAAGCCACTTTGATACATCAGTCACTAGTTGACTGTTGTGATTAGATTTTTCTTCAAAATTTGTTTCAAAAATTGTAACTAAATCTGAAAACTTCTGATGTAAGTCATTCTAAAGACTTATACACTTCCTTTTCACTTTCTTCACATATGAAAGGATCAGTTAGATTTATGTCATGAGAGGTAGCACCTATTAATATAAGAAATATTCTATTACTCAATAAAAAATATTGTTTTCACTTCCCATTAACATATGACTGGAGTATAAATTGTTAAATTGTTAATATTGTCATTATGAATAAATTTGGTCATTTTACCTGCATTAACACTTTGTGATGATAATGTCATAGTGAGATCATTTGTGCTCGATGTATCATTACTATGAATAAAACCTGAGTATGTACAATTTTGAAAATTAAAAAATTATAATCATAATTAATTTACCTGTTGGTGCTATAGTAGATACTAGTGAAGTAGATGATATCATTGATGATGCTGCTGGTAATAATGATTCCATATCAAATACTTTTCCCCATTCACTATCTAATGATCTAGCAGCAGCATCAGTTGGTCCACCTTGAGATATACACTCAACAAACACTTGACAATGTGCCTTTAATTCTGACACATCTTTTAATAATGAGAGCTTTGCTTCAAACTCATCTATCATTTTATTGTAGTTCAGTGATTGAGAATCTCTTACTGTCTTTGTGATAATTCCTTTAGCATATAAATGTGACAATATGCTACTGAGACTGCCTTTGGTTGCTTCTTCTAATACAGCATAGTGTGAACGAAGGATCTCTTTTACTTTTTTACAAGCTAGAAAGAGAGTCATCAATTATTTTTAAAATAAAAATACTAACCTTCTTCAACAGTAGGTCCAGGATTAAGTTCCACATCTCCTGATAAGAGGAGGAGGAGATGAGAAATTAAAGAGAACATTTTAATATCTCCAGGTAATGCTACTGACTGGAGGGTATCAGTAACAATATCACCAGTAGTACATTGTACTTGATAACAGTAACAATGACCTAATGATACATACAGTGTATAATGTACATATGAAGTATAGCTATTGATTTACCTGGTGGAGGAATTGAATTGTGTTTCAATAAAAGGAAACAAAGATAAATGACAATAAAACCAATAATAAACAGAACTGCTGGCAGTGTACATC